GGGGGTCGTATTTTGCAAAATTTTTCCGGAACGGCAGAATGCGCCCTGTTGTGCGTAAAGGATGGTGTATGTGTGGGTGGCTTACCTCCATAGTTTGCTGTGCGTCTTAATTGCACTCAGAATTGCTAAGCTACTTAAGTGCGCCCTCAACCAATACGATGACTCAATTGATGTTCAAGGGGGTGTAATCGAGAACCAATCTTCTGATATAAGTGGAGTTGATGGCCTTGGTTGCCCAGGCCTCAAGCGATACCCTTAACCCCTACATCATTTTATCCTCGAAAACATTCCGTGCTATCTAAACACAAGTGCTAACCTATTTTTAGGTCCACTTCCTGCTTTTAATCCCGGCTGAGTCATCCCTAAACATCTGTTCTCAGGGGACAAATCCAATGAGTCAATTGATGAATTTTGTCCCGTTGAGTGTCCCGCAAAACAACCTCACCGGTGACTCATTTTATAACCTGACCTTCGATATACGCGAGGAAATTGGATAGACAACTGACCTGAGTCCTCTTCCCATAGCTTGACTCTCACGTTCGCAGCCGGCCGCTCACCGCACAGTAGACGACCTTTCACCGCAATTGACTGCTCTCTAACTGCAAGGCACAACAATGGCAACAGCGCTAGTGAACACAATAATCTGCTCATCCTGAAAATAGGTCTCAGTTTAATTTTCCTCTTCATAAAGCCCACAACTGAGGCAGATAACGAGAACTCGACGAATAAGAGGCTGTGAAGAGGCCAAATGGGAGGCCTTGGATACTGTAGGAGAGAAAAAAACAAATTTTCGGGAGCAGGATAGACAGATATTTTACAGAGAACATCACCGTTAGTGAACCAGAATAAGGGCATGTTGTACGTTCGGAATCCCCAGCGTGCTGGGGAGGCGTATCTGGTCGCTGAAGAAGGTGGCATTCGCCAATGAAGGAAAGGATTCAGGTCGTCCACGAGTTTTCTCTTTTCAAGTAGACTCGCTTCTCCGCTCTCACGCCCCCCCCCTTCCTCATTCCTCTAACATTCGAATGAAGAATTTTCGGAAGCTCGCGAAAAGCGGTGAGAAGTTGAGACAATTTATGAAAACGGTGGGTAGGACAGGCGAGGACAGGGAAGAGGTGAATCACCTGTCTGAGGATGAAATGTATCTGAAATTTTTCCGCCCAATTCAAAGACGTGCCGGTGGGAATCAAAGAGTAAGCATTCGTATGATGGACTGAGACTCGGATAATTAACATCCAGTGCGTCGACGTTTCAGTCGCGCAGTGTTCGGTACCTTAAGGGAACGCCCATAACTTGCAAGTAGAAATACAAAAAAAGCAGGGGTAGTATTATTCAGAATCTTCCGCTTCCATGTCCCTAGAAAGAAAGAAAGAAAGAAAGAAAGAAAGAAAGAAAGAAAGAAAGAAAGAAAGAAAGAAAGAAAGAAAGAAAGAAAGAAAGAAAGAAAGAAAGAAAGAAAGAAAGAAAGAAAGAAAGAAAGAAAGAAAGAAAGAAAGAAAGAAAGAAAGAAAGAAAGAAAGAAAGAAAGAAAGAAAAAAGAAAGATAAGATAGATAGATAGATAGATAGATAGACAGATAAGCAGATAGCTATATTGGTGGACGGATAGATGGTTAGGAGGGTAACCACAGAAAGATCACTATAGAGCACAAAACAAGCCAGTATGTGTAAGTTCCCTTCGACTACCCCCTTTATATACGTTGGTAACGCACCCGTACACACACAACTGGGCGTAGCCCTACAAGCCCCTGGAAAACAGCCAGAAATTCGAAGAGCTCAGATTACAGTGATAAACGATGGTTGTTGTTGCGACAAAGTTGCTGATTTTATATACGATGACTCGCGTCCATGACGTCAAGGGTTCATTTCTCAGACAACATTTGTGTGACTCATCGCCGTCAAGGGTACAAAAAGTTATGTCGCAGCTGTGAGAGCAGCTGAGCGATCAGAGATAACAGAGACAAGAGATCGCGACGGATGAATCCCGAGAAGTTGAATCTTTCGAAAGGCAAGGTCAGGTTGAATATAGCGAAGACTTGGTTTCTTCAAACCTGATCCTCTTTTCGCAACTCATCTTGATCCCATGCAGAAGAATTTTGCTGAAGAGAGGGAACCCTTTTAGATACATCATTTGGGGAGGAGGGAGGTAAGAATCGTAGCGGCATATTAAATGTTTTGTGACTTGTACACAACGACTTAAGAGGGCCAGCAGATGAACAACAAAGTTTGATGCACACAGACGA